ATTTTCTTAATGAGTTGCCGTTGTTGATTGACAATGCTCGCTTTTTTGCATTAGGTAGAAGTATTGCTTGGGCGACATAGTTCTTTTGGCAGTGAATCAGCTTCGCTTAGCGGAAGTGTAATATTGGTGTCTCTTTCCTATCAGATGTATGATGAAAACAAGGTGAGATCCTTCCAGACAATATGAAAACAATTAGCTACATAAATTAAAGCCCAAAAGAAATTAGCAAGATATATATTTTATTTCCATCAGATGAATATGCAGTAGGATTCATAGCATGGCTTCATTTACTCCGCCGGTTTAGCAACTAAGAGATCTTACAGCTAATATATTTTTAAATTTTCTTCAATTTGTCTGATATTAGAATCTTTAGTCAGCAGATCTTCCAAATTGCATGCATTAAAAAACCAGAAAGCCTGTGGTAGAAACAAGAGGACAGACTTTATTAGCCATGGTGACACTTTTTACCAAGGGTTTATTCGGTATAAAAATTAAAATTTAACAAATAACAAATAACAGAAAATAAATAACAGTAATATAGTTAACAAATAATAGAAAGTAGATACTGTTTATTAATTATTTAATTATAATGGTTAGTAATGTAAAAGCATTTGATAAATATCAAAGATCATCAAATTTAAATGTTGTCCGTAATTCAAGGCAATATGATTCAAGCAAGGCATCAAGTTTAAATGGGGGTCAAAGATCATCAAGTTTAAATGCTGTCCATGATTCAAGGAAGGCATTTGATTTTCAAAATCACAGCAAATCAGAATTAATTGACTCCAGCAAGAATCCAGCAATTAATCTCCAAGATAATAGCAAGACACAATCAACCATTAATTAAGGCTTCAAATCAGTAATTTTAACCAATGGCTATTTCTACAATTATTGTGTAATTAAGATTGAAATTCCATCATGTAATTATATATAAATGAAAAACTACAACCACTTCTTGCATCTTGCAAAAGGGTTTTTCCTCACAAATCTATTTATTCATTTTATCTTACAAGTCAGTGGTCTTTAAAGTTAAATTATGACTTATAAATACATATTTAAAAGTAGATAAGTGCTAAAACAAATTTTTATCACAAAAAGATAAAATAATTAATTTATTACAATAAATCACACTCTTTTCTACCTTTAATAAAAAAATTATATTATTTAAAAAAACAAAAAAATTTATATAAGTAATTCATTTGATTATCTAATTTTGTTTATGAAATTAATATTAATTTTTTAATGATAAGTCAATATAAAAAGTAAAAATATAATAATCAACTAATATTGTTAGAGAATCAAAATAAAGTTGAAACAAACAGGGCTGATATACAAAGTTGAAATCAATTGAAAAATTAGTAATTATAGAGTATGACAAAAAAAATTGAATAATTAACATGGATAAATTTATAAATAAAGTAAAAAAGTGAATTGGGCTTTAATTAGAAACCACGGATTTCAAACCATTAAGTAAAAAATTTTACTAAATATCTAATGTGTCGTTTGCAATTTTAGAAATAAAAAAGTTGCTGAATATCATTACATTGAAGTAGTAGTTTGGACAAATTGTTAATTTGTAACTCTAAATGCTATACCAATTCCACCTAATAGTATATTTAAATTGAGAGGAATGGAGAGGAGGATTTCCCTCGATCCAAACCGAGTATAAGAGAAAGGAATTTTGAGCTTATTATGTTGGGTATTGAAACTTCACTGCAATGATCCCTCCAGTAGAATCATAATCACGAATGAAAGGACTTCCTTCAGGTTGAATTTACTAATATTGGAAAAATCAGACGATATATGGATACAGATGTTGATTAGTCTATGATGATTCCAGATATTTGTAGCATTTACTGCTACGATATTGCCAATGAATGGTGGAATTGGCCTTGTAAAAAATAATTGGGAAATTGTAATCATCTCAAAGTTGCCGAATGGTAATTTGTTTTGAGAGTTTTGCTCCTCTCGCTGTATAAACCTTACAACCTATTCAGGTTTGCAGCACAAAGAAAAACCATCATGAAAAGAGCTTGATATATTGAAGGAGATCAAGGTTCAAGATGAAGAACCAAGCCTGTTGTGCACTTCTCATCATCTGCTTCATTACTCTTGTTACAATCAGTTTGAGCGTTGAAGCAAAGACTTGCAAGCCCAGTGGGAAGATAAGAGGAAAAAAGCCTACACGAGGGGCATGCAACCAAAACAATGACTAAGAATGTTGTGATGAAGATAAGCTTTACACCATATACATGTGTTCACCCCCGGTTTCAAGCCACACAAAGGCAACCCTAACTAAATTGTTTCGAGGAGGGTTGTGATAGAGGTGCTTAATCAGAATGTGATGGCAAATACCACTCTGATGCTGATCCTATAGCGGCACTGTCAACAGGATGGTACAACAAAGGCAGCAGGTGCCAGAAGTACATTAACATCCAAAAAAACGGAAAGACTGTCAAGGCCAAGGTGGTAGATGAATGTGACCCAACAATGGGTTGTCATGCAGATCATGATTACCAGTGACAACAACCTTATTGATGCCTCAAAAGCAGTCTGGCAGGCCTTGGGAGTGCCCAAGAGTGATTGGGGGCAAAGGGATATATACTGGTCTGATGCTTGATTGGTTTTCATAATATCTGCATTGCTAAAATCAGGAATGCTTATTCCTGTTTGCTGGATTATTTCTTGAAAACACAGAACAAGAAGTTGTAAGAATAAGGATGCGTGCTATTCAGCCACTCGTCTTTTATTTTCAGTTTCCATCTGGTTTAAGTTGTCCAGGCATCAAATTTGAAGCAATAAATATTTACATATTTGCCTTGATAGTTTAGAAGTTTTGGTTTCTGCATACTGATACCAAGATCGATAGGAATTTAGCCTTGTACGTATGATCAATATTAAATTTGATAAAATCCACTAGAATCAAAGTATGGGGTTAAACAGGTTAAGAAAGAGCAACCTCAGAAGCTAAGAGAGGATTTAACATTTTAGAATTTTCCCACCTTAACATTTTTCTTTTATCAACAAAACTAATATATTATTAAGGAGAATAAGAAATATTGACCATAAAAATATACAATCATGAACAAAGTTTCAAAATAACAACTTTAAAAGTAAATTAATAGGTAAAAATACCATTCAATTAAATAAAAAAATAAAAAT